TGTCTGTCTGTCTGTCTGTCTGTCTGTCTGTCTGTCTGTCTGTCTGTCTGTCTGCCTGCCTGCCTGCCTGCCTGCCTGCCTGCCTGCCTGCCTGTCTAGTCCATCCGTCCGTCCATCTCTCTCCTTCTACTGTTTTGATGATGATCTTCATATCTTTTTCCCTGGTTCATTTAACCACTATACTGATATTTGAATTATGCAAATTTGCTTTAGAGGTTTTCAAACATTGATAGAGAAAAACATTGATAATCTTGAAAAAAAAATCTTTGGATAGTCTAGTGATCTAAATGATCATGATGATGCTACTCAATAAATGCTTAGCATTAGCTGTACAACAGGGACCTTGGTATAGGTTTTGGCTGTTATTTAAAACTGAGAAACAAATTAACCCAGTTATTAAGATTAACATTTTTTCTTTAACAGAGGCCTACATAACAAAGTCCATGCTCAATAATCCAGGTATACAATCCAACAGTTTTTACTCAGGTCATCTGGACAGTTTCTTTTTTTTTTTTTGTGCCGAAATGTTCGCAAATCGTTTCAGCACCAAAAAAAAAAAAAAAAAAAAGAAACTGTCCAGATGATGACCTGACTGAAAAATGTTGGATGAGGCCTACTTACTTATTATGTGACCTCAAGATAGAAATTCATGTTTTTAATATATCTTATTTGGATAAATGTACGTTTTTGTCTAATATTTATTAAATGTGTACTTTGTATAGCACTTTGGGTCTGCATGGTTGTCTTTTGTACTATAGATATAATGTTTAACTTGGAAAAAATATCTACTACATAGTCACTAGAAGAAAATGTGAGATAAGTGTTAGGAGTTTTATAAGCAGAGAAACTGTTTTGCTGTTAATTGTCCTGCTTTTCTGTCCTCTAAAGCTACAAGATATCTGTCATCAAACTGAGCTGTACTAAACAATTTGAGGTTTTGGACATCAAGCTGTATAAAAGTGTTCGCCAGGACATTATTGTATAATTTGGAGTTCTTATGTTTAAGTCGTCATGGATTCCCCACCTAAAAATACTTGACTGATTTCATGCATTTCAGCATTTCATATATACACTGCTCACAAAATTAAAGGGAACACTAAAATAACACATCCTAGACCACAATTAATTAAATATTCTCATTGACAAACTTTATTATTAGCACAGTGGAATTGATCGAGAAGAAAATAACACAAAAAATATCAATGTAAATCAAAATTATTACACCATGGAGATCTGGATTTTAATTCATGCTCAATATGAAAGTGGAAAATAACATGACAGGCAGATTCAATGTCAGTGAATATTCCTCAAGACAAGTCTAAATGAAGCTCTGTAGTGTGTGTGGCCTCCACGTGCCTGTAGAAATTCCCAACAACACCTGGGCATGTTCCTGATGAGACGGCGAATGTTCTCCCGAGAGATCTCTTCCCAGACCTGGATTAGAGCATCAGTTTGCTCCTGAACTGTCTGTGGTGCTGTGGCTTTGGTGGATTGACCGAAACATGAAGTCCCAGATGTGCTCAATTGAATTCAGGTCTGGGGAACGGACAGGCCAGTCCATAACATCAATGGCCTCATCATGCAGGAACTGCTGACACACTTCAGCCTTCAGCATTGTCATGCATAAGAAGAAACCCAGGGCTCACTGCACCAGCATATGGTCTCACAATGGGTCTGAGGATCTCATCCCCGGTACCTTATGGCAGTCAGGGCACCTCTGGCTAGCAGATGGAGGGCTGTGCAGCCATAGAAAGAAATGCCTCCCCACACCATGACTGACCCACCTCCAAACCGGTCATACTGGAGGATGTTGCAGGCATCATAACGTTCTCCACGGTGTCTCCAGACTCTGTCACATCTGTCACATGTGCTCAGTGTGAACCTGCTTTCATCCGTAAAGAACGCAATGTGCCAATGGCGAATCTGCCAATTTTGGTGTTTCCTAGCAAACGCCAATCGTCCTGCACTGTGTTGGGCTGTAAGCACAGGCCCTATATGTGGATGTCAGGCCCTCATACCACCCTCTTGGAGTCTTTTTCTGACAGTTTGAGAGGAAACATGCACACTAGTGACCTGCTGGAGGTCATTTTGTAGGACCCTGGCAGTGGACCTCCTGTTCCTCCTTGCACAAAGGATGAGGTAGCGGTCTTGCTACTGGGTTGTAGCCCTCCTACGACCCCCTCTATGTCTGCTGGTGTACTGGCCTGTCTCCTGGTACCCGGACAAGGTGAGGAGAGCATTCAGCAAGACCAACGCTCGGAAAGCTCCTGGTCCCGACAACATACCTGGTCGCGTGCTGAAGGACTGCGCTGGCGAATTAGCAGAGGTGTACTCTGACATCTTCAACACCTCACTGAGCCAGGCTGTGGTCCCCACGTGCTTCAAAACCACCACCATAATCCCTGTCCCCAAGAAAACGTCTCCCTCCTGCTTCAACGACTACCGCCCGGTTGCACTCACTTCCATCCTCATGAAGTGCTTCGAGCGACTAGTCATGCAACACATTAGGTCCTCCCTCCCCCCCTCCCTGGACCCCTACCAGTTTGCATATCGGTCAAACCGCTCGACTGATGATGCCGTCGCCACTGCTCTTCATTCAGCCCTCACACATTTGGACAAGAAAGACACCTATGTCAGAATGCTCTTCATCGACTTCAGTTCTGCATTCAACACAATCATTCCACAACAACTCATCTGGAAACTGGACAGTCTGGGTCTGAACACATCACTGTGCAACTGGCTGCTTGACTTCCTTACCGGAAGACCACAGGCAGTACGGGTTGGCAGCAACACATCCAGCATCATCACTCTGAACACGGGGGCCCCACAAGGATGTGTGCTGAGCCCCCTTCTGTTCACTCTACTAACCTACGACTGCTCTCCATCACACCCCTCCAACCTCTTCATCAAGTTTGCGGACGACACGACTGTGGTAGGCCTCATCAGCAACAACGATGAGTCACTCTACAGGAGCGAGGTGAGCCGGCTGGTCTCCTGGTGCAAACGCAACAATCTCTTGCTGAACACAGAGAAGACCAAGGAGATTGTTGTGGACTTCAGGAGAACTCAGACAAAACATGCTCCACTATCCATCAACGGTGTTGTTGTGGAAAGGGTGAGCAGCACCAAGTTCCTGGGTGTGCACATCTCTGAGGACCTCTCCTGGACCATCAACACAGCAGCAGTGGCCAAAAAGGCTCACCAACGGCTCTACTTCCTCCGCAAGCTGAGAAGAGCGAGAGCCCCCACCCCCATCATGACAACCTTCTACAGGGGGGCCATCGAGAGCATCCTGATGAGCTGCTCCACTGTGTGGTACGGGGCCTGCACAGCATCCTGCCGCAAATCCCTCCAGCGGATCGTGAGGACAGCTGAGAAGATCATTGGCACCTCTCTCCCCTGCCTTCAGGACCTCCACAGCTCTCGCCTCAGAAGTAAAGCCCTCTGCTGGGTGGGAGATCTTGACCACCCGCTACACTGCTTCTTCAACCTGCTGCCATTAGGGCGGAGACTGCGTAGCCTCAGTTCT